CCGGTGTTGCACCTTCTCCAGAGCAGCTATACGTCGTTCAGAAGATGAGGGCGAATGCGTATGGTATCCAAAATGGTCCCCCGAGTTAAGACGATGCCACACACCTGGCTCACGATATATATAAAACACACCAAAAGATCATGTTTTTGTCATTACCTTAAGTTAGAATACACAGAGAGTGCGTCTAATTTTTTATCAGATTAAGGTAGGTAAAGTTAGGTTATGGTTAGGTCAGGTGAGATTAAGATAGATTAAGTTGGATTAAAATAGACTTGAATAAAAAAGAGCAATGAAGACGCAAAACGGTACACCAAATACAGCCCCGTTCCTGTGCCAGGTAAGTCCACTAGGGGGCTCACCATAGCCCGTGCTACTTGTCACTCCTGTGCCAGGTCAGTCCACTACGGGCTCACCATAATCCGTGCTACTTGCCCCGCTCCTGTACCAGGTAAGTCCACACGGGTTCACCATAGCCCATGCTACTTGTTGCTCCTGTGCCAGGTAAATCCACTCCGGGCTCATCATAGCCCGTGCTACTTGCCCCGCTCCTGTACCAGGTAAGTCCACTACGGGCTCACCATAGCCCGTGCTACTTGCCCCGCTCCTGTGTCAGGTAAGGCCACTACGGGCTCACCATAGCCCGTGCTACTTGCCCCGCTCCTGTGCCAGGTCAGTCCACTACGGACTCACCATAATCCGCGCTACTTGCCCCGCTCCTGTGCCAGGCAAGTCCACTACGGGCTATCTTGAGGTTATCTTGAGATGATTTCGGGGATTTTAGTGTCCCCGCGGCCCGGTCCTCGACCAGGCCTCCACCCCTAGGAAGCAGCCCGTGACAGCTGACTAGCACCCAGGTACCTATTTTACTGCTGGATAACAGGGGCATAGGGTGAAAGAAACTGTGCCCATTGTTTCTCGCCGGCGCCCGGGATCGACCCCGGGACCACAGGATCACAAGTCCAGCGTGCTGTCCGCTCGGCCGACCGGCTCACCATAGCCTGAGCTACTTGTCGCTCCTGTGCCAGGCAAGTCCACTACGGGTTCACCATAGCCTGAGCTACTTGTTGCTCCTGTGCCAGGTAAGTCCACTACGGGCTCACCATAGCCCGTGCTACTTGTCGCTCCTGTGCCAGGTAAGTCCACTACGGGCTCACCATAGCCCGTGCTACTTGCCGCTTCTGTGCCCGGTAAGTCCATTCCTTTTTTTTTTTAGTAAATGTGCTGCTGAGTTGCTGAGGTTGTATTTAAATCCTCTGCTATCGCGGGGGAGGATACTGCTTGACAGTATTTATAAGGGTCTCCAGCTGCTGCATGGACACTTTTTGACCAGGAGAGTGCCAGTGTCAATGGCTTCAGGGTGGTTACTTCAAGATTCAAGATACTTCAGCCATGTTCCCCCCTTTCTTATTTTTATTTTTATTTGTTCTCAACACATTTTATACTTTAAACTCAATTAGTATTAAGTTTTAGTCTTTAATGTTTTTCCTGCCCGAAACGCTTTGCGTAATAGTGGCTTTAGGCATTGTATGTACCAGCTCTATCTATAAACCTAGCAATTTTTGTAAAAATCTCTTGTATGTATGTACCTTACCTGAATAAACATTTATTTATTTATTTATTTATTTATTCAGGGACTCTTCAAGCTCTTCTAAGGTCGTTGACTGCTCCATAACCCAGTGGTTTTTCTGTGATTGTTTGGCAGAAAATGCATTTCCTCTGTCTGGGTTCACCAATCTCCCAATTGCATTTGTAACCTAGACGTAGTCTATATAACCGAACTGCTATTTCCCTGTGGGTTCCTTTTAGGATATTTAACCTTTCTAACTTGGTGGCCTGAAGATACCATATCAAAGGTGCCTCCTTGTGGCGATGCCCGCAGGGTATTGCCTCGCCCTTCAGGGTAGGACTCAAAGTGACCTGGTCAGTGATACGGTACTCACAAAAAAAAATCGGTCATGGATGACGAGAGTGAGGTACGATGTAACACTGTAAAAGTGTTTGGTTTAGTTTAATACATATATATAGTACATGAGTCACAGACAGGGATTTGAGAAAGGCGCCAGGTTGTCGGCCTGAGATCTCACACCTCAAAGCGTTAATGACCTCAAGTGACCTGAGGTCAGATCATGAGAATTTCACCTTGCTTCCGCTAAGCTTATAATTGTAGCCTGTTAGCCTTCAAACATGCCGACGTTTAAGGAGTGGCTTGGGAGAGTGCCTCAGGCTATCTACTTGTGGGCGGAGTTAGTTACTAGGCTCCCCAATATATACTCGGAGAACTATCGATTCGGGAGCATTAAGCAACAGGAGACCAGCCAGCAGAGCAGAGCAGACGGCCCTAGCAGGGAGGCTGTCGGCCGGCAGGGCGGGAGTCTCCGTCAACTAAAGACCCCCCCTCTCTATCCAGCTATAGGCACACACTTGGTGAGTTGAGCAGTAAGGTGACTTGGTCGTGTTTTACAAGTGTTGTGTGAAGATCAGGGGCAGTCAATTGTAGTGTTCTCAGATTCTTGGAGGATGACTCACTTTGAATATTAATCTTTAACATTTTAATTGGATTGCTTAAGTTATGATACTTATCATGAAAAATATAATTGTTGAATTTATTATTTAAATGGACTTTATTTTGTTCCCTAGAGATCTTGAGTTGAGGTGAGAAAGCCTCTGTGGTTACTGTTTTCATGGTTTAGAATGAATACATGATAAAGATGGGACCATACTAATAATGATCTCTTGATAACATCTTTGGTGATTTTTGTGATACAGACAAGTTCCATTCCTTGTCTTGTATGTGATGATCTAGAATGGATGGTGGCAGCATTTCGTCTTCTACTATCTACTCTTCTACTTCTACCTATCTACACCTCTCCCTCCACCCCTCTCTAAACTCTCACTTTCAACTAATGACCCTCCTCGCTCCTCCCACCTCCCTACCTCTCACCCCAAACCCTCACTAATTACTTCACTATTCATTTCTTTCCTTTCGGTTCCTCTTATACGTTTGTGGCAATGATTATGTATTCTAGAGTTCTCTCTAGAGTTTCGGGTAACTGATCAAGTGACGGCGCCTTGTAGTCTTAGCACCTAGGTAGTCGAATACCTAGGTTACAGGGTGTTGAACGAGAGAGGTTGCCTTAGGATCTCTGGGAGTGCTCTAGAATAGTTAGCTAACTGGGGACGGGATAACGGACTAGAGAGAGCTGTTTCCCCCGGCCTCGTTAGTTAGCTGGGGGGTGGAATAATGGACAAGATAGAGCTATTTCCCCCACACCCCGTTACAACGAGAGTTTGGGTCGCCTGCGTACTGGGTTGTGCAGAATACTAGTCAGCTGGACAGCAGGGGCCAGATTCACGAAGCAGTTACGCAAGCACTTACAACCTTGTCCATCTTTTCTCAATCTTTGGCGGCTTTGTTTACAATTATTAAACAGTTAATGACCTCCGAAGCACCAGGAGGTTGTTTATAACAATAACAACAGTTGATTGGGAAGTTTTCATGCTTGTAAACTGTTTAATAAATTTTACCAAAGCCGTCAAAGATTGAGGAAAGATGTACACGTTCGTAAGTTTTTTTTTTTTTTTTTGAGATATATACAAGAGTTGTTACATTCTTGTACAGCCACTAGTACGCTTAGCGTTTCGGGCAGGTCCCTGGAATACGATCCCCCGCCGCGAAGAGTCGTTTTTTCATCCAAGTACACATTTTACTGTTGCGTTAAACAGAGGCTACAGTTAAGGAATTGCGCCCAGTAAATCCTCCCCGGCCAGGATACGAACCCATGACATAGCGCTCGCGGAACGCCAGGCGAGTGTCTTACCACTACACCACGGAGACTGTAAGTATTTGCGTAACTGCTTCGTGAATCTTGCCCCAGGTAATCAACAACGTTGTTTGTCCTTCAATTGTAGACGAAATCGTTATTGTTTTGTAGCGAGTAGATTATCCCAATAATATACTCGCTCCAAATGCAATGTTAATATTCCTGTCAACCTTTGGAGATGAATGAGGTGAGGCGTTGCCCGGGCAACACAGTGAGGTGTTGCCCGAGCATATAAGCAGCAGAATAGCAAACATTAACCAGAGTCTACTTTCAAGTGTGGTCTAGAGCAGACACTTGCGAGATACTGTACCGACGCTCAGTGCGCCCAACTCACACACCCATACTTTACGTAACAATAGAACCGTTACAGTTTCTTTCTAAACAAGATATTGTCTGGGTCTTGGAGTATTGATGTATTTTTCCTCACAAAACCGCGATGATTTGAGCTGATGAGTGCACAGAATCGTAAGTTTTTCCCGGGAACAAATCCACGTGCGACCAGCTAACAATAGCGTCGGCTGCAAGTCTGAGGTGTTAATTGGAATAAACATTTGATTTGACTTGATTTTATTTGATTTAATTAGTTGTGCACTTGAGAATTGTATATAGTGGACAATAAATTCACGGCCACTGGGTCCATATGCAGTCACCGCCCAGTGGTAAAACACTCGCCCGGCACTTCAGGAATGCTTTGGCCTGGGTTCGTATCCAGGCCGGGGAGGATTGACTGGGCGCCAATCCTTAACTTTTTTTTTTTTTTTTGAGATATATACAAGAGTTGTTACATTCTTGTACATAATAATATAGAGGCAACTGTTGTTGCCTCTGTTCAACCAGCATTGTTAAACGATTTGGCAGGTCATATTCCAGGGAAAATTTAGATTAAGGACCTGCTCGAAACGCTATGCGTTCTAGTGGCTTTACAAGAACGTAAAAACTCTTGTATAAAAAAAATAAATTAAAATAAACATGTGGACACAACCAGTGATATTAGTATTTGTTTATCAGAGTATTAAATAAATATTATTTTACTTATGTATTACACTAAATCATTATTTTGGCTAGATATTTATCATTTTTAAATCGGTATATAATTTCCATAAAAGCATTAATATTTTCTACCGTCATAACGAGATCATGCGCACGAAACTGCCTCAAAATCGATATCCAATAAGAACGTTGTTCATCCTTGTTTTGCTCGTGCTGGCCAATGAGAACTGAGGTTGGTTATGATCGCTGTAATACACTAGAGCTCCCGAGTGGCGGAATGTATTGATGTATCGTCTGCTGGGAGGCAGTGAGCAACAATGAGAGTACCGTAGAGGGGGCTTCTCCTCGAGGTGCAGGTAATAAATTGATCAGCTAATTGTGGTGAGGTGAGAGGACACGGGTGTGACCATGGCCTCTAAACCTCAGCTGGTACTGCTGGGATACGTGGATGAGCAGATCTCCTCCAGGAATCAGCAAATGGCCAGCTTCTCTGTCAGCAAAATTGGCGGAACACCAGTAAGTTAGCTGTTTTGTGAAGAGGTTCTATATTGAAATCTTTAATTATACTCGTGTTATGTTTTGTAGGCAGATATTTTAATGTGTCTTCAAGAGTGTCACTAGCTGGCAGTGTCAGGTGTCAGATGTCTTACTGTTGTATTGATGACATTGGCCCGAGTGACATATACCTCCGGGTGTCATATAGCTGTGAGTGTCCCCAAGACTGGGTGTCATATAGCTGTGAGTGTCCCCAAGACTGGGTGTCATATAGCTGTGAGTGTCCCCAAGACTGGGTGTCATATAGCTGTCAGGGGTGTGACATACTGCTGTTGGGGTGCTGCATGACTGTCGAGGTGTTATGTAATTAATATAAAATAATTGATGTAATGTGCTATGTGTAGGTGGCACAAGTTACACAAAACTTATACATTTATTTTTATATAATTTATAGTCTTAATGGCTTAATGATTTCTTGTGATAATTACTATAATTCATAATATTATAAGCAGTCTCCGTGGTGTAGTGGTAAGACACTCGCCTGGCGTTCCGCGAGCGCTATGTCATGGGTTCGTATCCTGGCCGGGGAGGATTTACTGGGCGCAATTCCTTAACTGTAGCCTCTGTTTAACGCAACAGTAAAATGTGTACTTGGATGAAAAAACGATTCTTCGCGGCAGGGGATCGTATTTCAGGGACCATAGGATTAAGGACTCGCCCGAAACTCTACGCGTACTAGTGGCTGTACAAGAATGTAACAACTCTTGTATATATCTCAAAAAAAAAAAAAAATTATATATATACCCTGTATATATATATATAATGGAAGTATTTTTTGGGGGTTTTGTGTAATGTCCTGCTTACCAGTTCACCCCTGAGCTGCTTATCAGGGATTTTGGGAACAATTGCTCTGCCATTTAGGAGGTGGAGTTCAACACATGCGGATAACTTGCACCGCTTCTCATTTAGAGCCCACGCAAACAAATGATGTTTTGTGCAGTTTTTGAAAGCGGACTTGGTTAAAAAATATATGCTGAACTTTCTTTGGACGAACACCATGCTCATTTGAGTAATGAACCTAATCCAAGCTAAGGATTTTGGATAGTAGTATGCTGGATATTGACCTATGAGTCCCTGTACAAGTTCTATATATTCCCATGGTTGTGTTGTGCTACTTTGATATAGGATAACGCATTTTACAGCCATGATCTTACAGCATCATTTATATCATAGTTTATCATATTCAGACACTGTAGTATTCAGAGTGCATCACAAGTCTGTATCCATCTTAGTCGTAATCCTTAGATTTGCAGGTGATCCTTGAATTAGTCTTGAAAGTGCCTCATGCTTTTTCGTATTGTCTTCTCTCTAAAATAGATGGAACGTTTATACTTAATCCTATTTACACCATCTGCTATAGACTAACAACTCAACTCCGTTGCGGTTACCTTGCAATGATTTCGCAGGGTAATTTCGCTTGATGTCCCTGCGTCCCAGTCCTCGAGCAGCCCTCCTGAGGGGCTCGCTCACCTGGTAATGCACTCGCCAACATGTGAAACATAGAAAAACAAAATCATAGTTTATGCATGTAGTATGTGTGTTAAATGGAAGCAAATCTTTGTTTAACAGTTTGTCTACACTTGTGTGACTAAATGAAATAATGTACTGTATATGGTAAATATGTATACGGTGTAAACAGTACAGAGGTTTAACTTTAGGCAAATTGTGTTTGATGAAGATTATTAAAAGGTAAATAAACAAACATAATTATGGAATGATCTCTGCAAATTCTGATCGTAATTGAAGTTGATATTGGCCATAAAAATGGTAATTCACCGATACAGTAGAAAAATATTTAAAGAACCATTTAAATATAATTGATTTACCAAATTCTTGTTTATTACACCAGGATGGTATTCATTTATATTCATTAATTCTCTTAGGTACTTGAGAAAACATTGCAGTACAATATCACCTATCCTGTGTTTTGATGATTAATGTTATAATGGTCTGATGGTCTGTGACTATAGAATGTGGTGGTGCAAAATTTCCATAAATACCTTATCTTGCAATGATTTTGGGGCTCAACGTCCCTGTGGCCCGATCCTTGACTAGGCCTCCTATCCTGTGGAGGCCTGCATCTTGTGCTTGACCATATATTTTCAGGGAAATAAGCCCTGTGTGGGAAATTCTCATTTAATCAACAGGAATTTTTACTTAAATTTGTTTTGCAGTTAGCGTTGTATTGCACTATTATGTATAAGCAACTTGAGACTAAATATAGTACCATGGTTTGGAAGAGACAATAACAGATTTAATATGTTCTGTGTATCTCTCTCCCAAGTGTTCCTGACTGCACACATACAATAGAGAGAGACCATGAGTGGTTCCAGAGCTAAGTACATCTCTACATCTAAGTGACCTACAGTACATTCTTTATGTGTAAACCCATGTCCCTGGTACAGACATGTTCACTGTAGCTTGGATATAAACCATATCGTTGGCTGGTTGCTTGCATATACTTTCAGCATCATAACCAGGCTGTGAATGCATCTGTATGGAGTTGTCATTTTCCTACTCCTGACTCACGCGTCTCGGTCATCTCTTTTTTTTTTTTTTTTTTTTTTTTTTTTTTTTTTTTTTTTTGTCAGGCTGAGTTTCTCTAGTGTTTATTCTGTGAATAATTACTGATACAAAGCAGAAGACCTAATGTTGATCTAGTTACTAAAAAAAAAAAAAAAAAAAATTTAGGTACTGTATTTAGAAGACTTTTTTTTCAATTTCTTCTTCTGGAACCTGTAGAAACCTATTTCTCATGCATACAGTGTAAGTACACTTGTCCTATTGTTCCCTTTTTTGTTTTCAAACTAAGAGGTGACCGAATTCTTGTAACCTTTTGGTTACCTTTCGATGATTCCAAGGATCAACATCCCTGTGGCCCAGTTTTTAATCAGGCCTCCTGGTTGGTGGTCTGGTAAAGCAGGCTGTTTGACACAGCTGCTTGAAGTCTGATATATGAATCACAGCCTGGTTGATCAGGTATCCTTTGAAATGGTGTCTTTGGAACACAGTGAGAGGTCAGCCAGTTATGCCCCTTATATGTAGATGGTGAATGTTGAAAAGGTTTGGGCCTTTAAGTTAATAGACTTCTCTCTAGCATACTGCACCACTGCTTTTCAGTGGGGCTGTTTTGCACAACCTACCATGTCTTCTGTTCTCATGTGGTTTTATTTTCATATGCAGATTTGAAACCAGTCCTAATAGCATTTTCCAAGTGTAAATTATTATGTATCTCTCCTGTCTGTGCTCTAGAAAATACTGATTTAAACATTTTAAATCATCCCAATAATTGAATGCTTTATCAAGTGGATTCTAGCAGTAAAAGACTTTGCATTTTCTCCAGGTCAGCAATTTTTCCAGCATTGAATGGGGCTGTGTGTGTAATAATATTCCACTTGTCTTAAAAATTATCATTGGTATGGCATCAATTGTTAGAAAAGTTCTTGTTATCCAACCTGTCATTGTACCATAGCACAGATCCTGACATTGCAGCTGCTCTGTTATGGTCACAGTACATCTGCACTGCTCTAGCTCTTTATTTTTTTCATTATTAGTGTTAGACTTTGTGGTGTGTAAATATCTGTTTGGAGAGAATGAATACTCAATTATCTCTTATCTAAGATTCTTACTTAACTTGTTCCAACTGTTTACCACTCTGAAAAAGTTAATGTTTTTTTTGGCAACTTTGTTTAGTTAGCTTAAATTTAAGAACTCTTGCTCTCGAAGTTCCAAGGCTCATCAACCCTTCTTTATTAATTTTGTTGATTTCTGTTACTATTTTGTACATAATGGTTATATCGCCTCTTTTTCTTGTAATCTAGCTTTGGCGTATTTAATGCCTCTAACTTCTCCTTGTAGCTCTTGTCTTTCAGTTCTGGAAGCCATTTATTTGCATGTCTTTGCACCTTTTTCAGTTTGCTGATGTCCTTAAAATATGGGCATCTTGCAACTGCTGCATATTCCAACTTTGGTCGCCTTGAAGTTACCTTGCGCTGATTCCGAGATCAAGGTCCTCACAGCCCGGTGATCGGGCCATGAGGACCGGGCATCTGACCAGGCCTCCTGGCCTGGTCTCATGAAGGTCAAAGCAGAAGTTCAAACATGAATTGTTCAAACATGAACAATTGTTTTAGTATTTCACCATCCACAATCCACTGGCACAATGTTCTTTGTGATTCTCAGATGAGTTTTTTTTTTTTTTTATCTAGAACCACTCCTCGATCTCTTTCTTTTATCATAATTTTTTAAAGATCTCTTTACATATATAAGTTGTAGGTTGTCTGTAGCCTATTTTTTCCTACTCCACATTCCATAGCATGACATTTATTCACATTAAATAAAATTTTCCAAGTGCTGCTCCATACACATACTTTGTCCAGGTCTTCTTAACCACTGCACTGCACTGCATTAAAATATGACACCCCCATGGTGCACAGAAAATAAATTATTTCCAAAAAATTATTTTCTCTTCTTATATTGTTAAAATGCAGTCTGATCATGGGAAACTAAAATAAAATATTGTATGTGACATACTTTAACCGCGATGGAGCTCAGAAGTCGAGCAATTTATGGGCGCCGAGTGATGAGGCGCTCAGGGACACTCGACCCTGCCATCCCGTGGGACGGCAGTTGCCGCAAATATAATTTGTCAGAATTATTTCAGTGTCTCTCATTCGTTTCTTTTTTTTTTTTTTTTGCTGTAATATTAATCAAAATTGTGTAATTTGTGGAATTTATATACAGTAGTCCAATGTGTGGAACATCGGTATGCTCAAATGTATGGTGCTTATATATGGTGACATGTATACAGTGGTACCTCGGAATGCGATTGTCCCTGTATGCGAGGTTTTCGGAAGGCGAGGTGTATTTACTCCAAAAATTTGTCTCAGAAGGCGAGGGTTACTTCGGGAGGCGAGTTTGGACGCGAGTTTGTTGATACGTGTACAGCCGACCTAGCTCGT